TCACACTGTGGGTGTGAAGCTGGGCAGAGAAGCAAGTCGACAGGAAGTGGGTGCATCTGAGGTACACGGATGGGAGAATGTGCTGGACAGGAGTGGGAGACTCTGAGCTCCCCAGACATGAACTGCGATGTGTCCGCCCTCCTCCACTGAGCTCACTCGACACGTTGAACTTCAGAAGTCTCCTAGGGGCTTATGACATGGAAGCCAGGATGGGATGCAGAACGGACGGAGAATTTGCAGCTACACTTGCCTGGCTGCTCCTTCTTCCTGAACGAAGGAAAGAGGGCGGGAAGGAATCAGTCAATTCTAGACAAGCCGAGTGCTGCAGCGTGACGTTGGTTCCTGCCAGAGTGGCTTATTCTGAGAGCATAATGAGACCCTTGTGCAGGGGTCCGCAAACTCTTTCAGCAGGGGGCCAGTGGTGGGTGTGGGCCGGCAAGGTGGTGCCGGCAGTGAATGCAGGTGATGGGGTGGAGGGCTATGGGGGGGTCTGAGCACCAAAGAATTGAGGCCTTTGAATTGTGGTGCTGGAGGAGACTCTTGCGAATCCCTTGGACCGCAAGGTGATCAAACCTGTGAGTCCTAGAGGAGGTCAACCCTGACTGCTCTTTAGAAGGCCAGATCCTGAAGAAGAAACCCAAATACTTTGGCCACCTAATGAGAAGGACTCCCTGGAGAAGAGCCTAATGCTGGGAACAATTGAGGGCAAAAGAAGGAGGGGACAGCAGAGGATGAGGTGGCTGGATGGGGTCACTGGGGCAGTGGGTGTGAGCTTGAGTGGGCTCCGGGGGATGGTGGAGGACAGGAAGGCCTGGAGGAGTGTTGTCCATGGGGTTGTGATGGGTCGGACACGACTTCGCAACTAACAAAAAAATTCTGAAGCCTGCAGTTTGCAAGATGGGCCACCAGAGGGCAGCCCAGTCACAGCACCAAAGCCCTAAGGGTGTAATACAATATTATGATGTTGTTATTATTATTATTACATTTTTATACTGCCCATAGCCAAAGCTCTCTAGGCAGTTGACAGCAATAATCATAGAATCATACACTCAAGTCACCCATCCCATTTCTGCCCAGGCCTGACCCTGCTTAGCTTCCAAGATTAGGCAGGATCTTACATTTATGCCGAATTATGTGTAATTTCATTTAACTTTGGTAATAAGAAGGATGAAAAGTAGCTTTTAAGGAAAAATGTTTCTCTAAAATTAGGCAAAGACTACTGAATAAAACCTATTGTTGTTACTATTACCGTTTTATTAAGCTTTTTCTAAGTTAGAGCCCTTAGAAACACTGTTCTCAATGATACAACACCCCTGTGAGGTAGTCCAATATTGCGCCATAAAGCAGATGGAGACATGGCTGAAGGAGAGAGCCAAGTTCCCCCGGATGTGCCCATACAGGGGTTTAGGAAAGAGCTGCTTCGGTGACCCTGAAAGACAAGACTCTGCCAGTGCCTCTTGACATTCCCGTAAAACAGGATAAAAAGGAAAGTACTTTATCGCGGGGCGCCATTTTGCCCTCTCTGTGCAGGGAGGCCTTTTTCTGCAGAATGAAGCCTTTTCCACCTCCCGCCCCTGGAGTGCTTGATCGGCCGCTGCACACGCCTCGACCAAACCCCACTTCTGTGGACAACACTGAGGAAGATGACCTTCCCCTCCTCCCCAGCCGCTTCCACGAATCTCCCATGTTTCATTT